GAAGGCTTCACCTTTGAGTACCGCTACCTGGAGGACCGGGACCTCCAGTGACACCGGCCCTCTACCTGACCCTCCCCCGCATGCTGACCCCCTGCCCAGGTGAGGGCCCTGCCCTGGAAGACTGCGGGAGGCCCAAGGCCATGGGGCACCCTCCCCCCCCAGGAAGCAGGGAAAGGGCAGGGAGGCTTTCTCTTCCTCTCTGCCCTACCCTGGGGGCGAGAGCTGCCCCCTCCTCCCCTCCCCAGTGAGGGACATTTTTTGGTAAACCTATTTTCATTTTGGAAAATATTTATGAATAAATAGTTTTATATGACGGCTGGCAGCTGCAGCCTCTCCTACCCCCCCCAAGAGTCAGTGGGCAGGAGTGGGGTTCTGCTGGCGGGGGCACCGGGCCAGCTGGGGGTTGAACTGGGAGTTGTACCGCCGCCTCCGTTCATCTGTCTCTTCCACGTCTGCCTGATCTTGCTGCGAGGCCCGGCCTTGTACGCGGGCCAGCAGGGCCTCTGCTCGGGCCCTCTCAGCTGCTTCCCGCTGACGACGCTCAGCCCGGAGCTGTTCTAGGGAAGGTGGCCTGCAGGGAGGAGACGGAGAGCAGCACACTTGAGAGAAGCCACCTGGTTCAGCAAGTCCAAGACTCGCTTTGAGAGCCGTGCCTCCCTGAATAACTTAGATGAGATGCCCTCCCGTCAAGCAGGCACTCTGAGCAGTGGACTGCGGGTCCCCGCACCATTCTCAGAGGGTAGCCTGCCCGCCCGCCACTACCCCTTCTCCAGTCGATAGAGTCTAGCACCTCACAGACAGAAACCTGCTCTTACTCTCTCATCCTAGGGATTCTTACACTTTGGTTCCCAACACGGGAGGCAGGCATCTCTGAGCTCAGCGTCAGCCTGGTTTACATAGCCAGTTCTGTGATAGTCAGGGCTACATAATGAAACCTTATCTCAGAAAAATTAAAAATTAAGAAACAACAGCAGCAAAACCTAGGGGCTGGAGAGATGGCTCAGTGGTTAAGAACCCTGGCTCCTCTTCTAGAAGACCTGAGTTCAATTCCCAGTGACCACATGGTGGCTCTCAACCATCCATCATGGGATCTGGTGCCCTCTTCTGGCCTGCATAGATACAGGCAGAACCAAGAAACCAGCCAGTACAAAGAGTAGTACGATGGAAATTGATAGGGAGACACCTGATGTCCTTGTCTAGCCTTCACATGCAACACTACAGAACATTTATAGGGGCGGTGGGGGGAAACCCAAGGGCCACAAAGATCTTTTAAGATTTTAAGACAGGGTTTCTCTGTTTAACAGTCCTGGCTGTCCTGAACTCACTTTGTAGGCCAGGCTGGCCTCGAACTCGGGGTCTCCCAGCCTCCACCCCCCCCACACACACACCAGCACTGGGATTAAAGGTGTGCACTGTCAGCACCTGGCAGTAGGTTGTATCTATGTATCTATATCTCTGTACTGAACTCGGTGTGGTGGCACACGCAGTTTGGAGGCAGCGGTCAGCAGAGCTACATAGAGAGTCCCTGTCTCACAAGAAAACAGAAGGGCTGGAGAGACAGATCGTTCAGTGGTTAAGAGCACTGGCTCCCCTTCTAGGCGACCGGTTTGATTCTCGGTACTATCCAGTGACTCACAATTGTGGCACTCCTGTTTCGGGGATCCAGTGCCTTCTAGTCTCTAAAGGCACCAGCACACGTGTGGTGCATACACAAACATAGCAGACACCCATGCATATTAAAGAAAAAAAACTGAGAAATCCTGTACACACATTCACACACACCCTTAGCAATAAGAGGAGATACTATTCTTAAAGCCTAAGTTAAAGAAGGGGCTGGAGAGATGGCTCAGCGGTTAAGAGCACTGGCTGCTCTTCCAGAGGCCCTGAGTTCAATTCCCAGCAACCACACGGTGGCTCACAACCATCCATAATGAGACTGGTGCCCCCTTCTGGCCTGCAGGAATAATGCAGGTAGAATACTGTATACATAGTAAATCAATCAATCTTAGGAATTTTTTTAAGTCTGTCTCCACAGAGCGCACACTGAGAACCACTTCACATCGCTGAGCTGTTTTGTGATGCCCGGGCTGGTGGATAGCGCCACCCCCCTCCAGTCTCGCTGCTTTCTGTGCCCTGGGTCCACTCTTACTCTTTGGGCCGTTGTTTCCGAGGCCGCTCCTCTCTGGAAGGACGGCTTTCACTGCTGTGCCTTTTCTTTCCCAGGTGCTTCTGCATCTCCCGCAAGGGATCCAACCGATTCTTGATCTTCTCGTCTGGGCTGGGGCCTGGAGGACAAGCCCCTTGCCCTGGGGGGAGCTGGTACCAAGGAGGTTGAGTTTGAGCCTCTGCTGCACTCTGGCCCAAGTACGTCAGGATGCCCAGTGCTTTCTCTTGCCTCTCCTGTGGGGGCAAGAAGACAAAATAGTCTTTTTTGCAAGTCCCTGTGGGAGCCGGAGATGTGGCTGTGGGGAAACCCAGGGCCTGAGTTCCCAGTGAGGGCAAGGGCTGGTAGGTATTCAACGACGGAAATCACAGACCTGGGACTAGCTATGCAACGTGCCAAGGGCTGACCTGCAGGGGGGAGGAGGAAACGAGGACAGTGACCGGGGTGGGGGTGGAGAAGCCTACGGAAAACAGCAGAGCAGAGGAGTGACTTCCAGAGTCGGGTGGGTCAGACACAGGAGTCAGAGTGCAATTCACAGTGTGAGGAACACGCGCCACCTGGCGGCACATATGCTCATGACTAGCGCTCAGGAGGCCAGAGCAGGGCTTGTGAGCTGGAGGACACCCTGGTCTGTGTAGTTGAGATCTCATCAGAAACAGCCTGAGGCGCTCTACAGCAGTAGCCAAACTATCAGGAGCTCCCTTTCAGTCACATTCAGGATTTTCTGTCACCATACCCTCACAGCTGGTGGTCACAGCTGGTAGCCCCCGCCCCGCCCGCCCCCAATCAGCCAACCGAGGCCGCCAGCTCACCCTCTCCTGCCGCTTCTCTTCTTCGTGCTCTTTGTTGCCTCTGGGTACCCCTTTCCCTTCCTCCAGCAGCTCCCTGAACAGGTCCACAGGGCCAGAGCTTGGAGCCTCTGCATCTGCTGCTCCCAGCTCAGGGAGTAAGTTCTGGCGCCTGGCTCTCTTCCGTAGGAATTCTGTTCTGGCCTGTGAAGAAAGTTTTGGGCAGGACATTAGAACCGAAAAGTGCTGGGGGCTACAAGAAAGAGCCATGGGCGGGCTGCTGGTGGCACACACCTCTAATCCCAGCACTCGGGAGGCAGAGGCAGGTGGATCTCTAGATTCCAGGCCAGCCCTAGTTCCAGAGCAGGCTGGGCTACATAGAGAAATGCTATCTGGAAAAAAACTTAAAAAAAAGGGGGGGGGGGTAGAGGTACTGGGAGTCAGAAAAGACACCATTTCTAGTTTTTGCCTGTTTTGGTTTTGGTTTTTGAGATGGGGTTTCTCTGTGAAACAGTCCTGGCTGTCCCGGAACTCACTTTGTAGACCAGGCTGGTCTCCAACACACAGAGATCCGCCTGCCTCTGCCTCCCAAGTGCTGGGATTAAAGGCGTGCGACACCACCGCCCATTGAGAATGGGTGGTTTTTTTTTTTTTTAACAGTAAACTGGATTACCACGGATAGTTGGGGAGATCCTCGACCTAAAACAGATGGCTTCGCAGCCTGGAGTGATGCAAGAAAAACAGCTATCCAAAACCACTAAGCTATGCCCAGCACACGCATGCACAAACTCCCAAATACAGCTTATTAGGTAGCCAAACAGTTTCTGGGCAAAGGATCTGAATCCCAGGTGTGGCTCCAGGTCACTATTCCAAGCACATTAATGACTGCCCGTGTCACTCCCATCCCAGGGGGGGGGGTTCAGAACTGCTCAGGGTAGTCTCCGATTCACGATCCTCCCCTCTGTAGTCTCAGTATCTGGACATACAAACGTCACTAAATCCAGCTACTTCATGATCGGATTGGCCGAGGGACTTAATTGTAAACCAGAAAGACTGAGTAATTAATTACTAACGCCTGTGCATGCATGTGTGTGGTCTTCAATGCCACATTCAGGAGGCAGAGGCAGGCAGATCTCAGAGCTCGAGACCAGCCTGGCTACTTGCTAGTCCGGGCTACATACATAGACCCTGTTTCTAAGAAAGCAAGCCTCTGGGTGTGTTTGCCTGGGGGAGCAATGGTGGAGAAAACGCGTCTAACGGAGCGGACTCCAGCTTGCTCGCCCTCTGCAGTCAGTGCCGACAGCACCCCTTTAAGGACTCAAAGTTGCTCTAAGAGGGATTTATCAAGCCTAGGCACGCACACAGTGGGTGCTCAGTAATTAAACTTGTGCGGACGATCTATAAATCCGAATATCTGTCCCACTCTTAGATGCTAGTCTCTGGCCACTTCAACTACACCAGCGCGGTAATCTAGGACGGTTCCGTGGAAGGCAGCAAAGGGTTTGCGGAGAAACATCGCCAAACCCAGACCCGCGCCGGACCCCGAGCGACCGCCGGGCCCGCCTCGCTTCCGGGCCAGCCCCAAGCTTACCTCTTGCTGAGCGAGCAGCACCCTCCGCTCTCGCTCCTTCTCCTCCTCCCGGGCCTGGGCCTCATCGCGCCGCACGCGGGCGACATTGTCCTTGTTTCGGACGTGCCAGCTCTTCTTGGGCAAGATATTCATGGTTCCTTAGCTGACCTCCGACCGGCAGGACCACTCTCCGACACTTCCGATTGGCGCGAGGACGCCCCCGCCCCATGGTCCCACCCGTGCCTGTGCATTGGTTCCGGACCAGTTACCACGCCCACTCATGGCCCTATCTGGAGGTGATTGGCTAAGAGGCCCTGCATCGCAGCCAATCCTAAACGTCTGCAACCTGAGTTGCTCCACCCCGGACGCCGCTGTCTGAGGCTGGTGACGCGGGGCCCGTCTAGCCCTTCTCGCAGACAAAACCCGGGACACGAAGTCGGGCCCCTCCCCAAACCCTGTCCGCAGCTTCAGGACCCGGTTTCAAAACGCAGAGCAGCTTCGGCTGCCGTTTATTGATACAGTTCAACTGAGAGTGCGGCACTTGGTGGCGGAGGGCGGGGGACTCGATCCTAGAGATGAGGGGGTAGCGTATACTGAGGAGTATTCGTGGGTCTGCGGGTCTGAAGGCGCGGCGGCATTCCAACGAGACGGGTCAGATCGCTCCGTTCACCGAGCTCAGAGCCACAGCTCGCTGGGCTAGGAAGACTTTATTCTTCGCTTCCTGAGGACAAAGGGGGCGGAAGTGAGGCACTGCTCCTCCACGCCCATGTCCTCCCCGTGCTCTCAGAGAGAACCACCATGGCTCACCGTCTCTATCTGGCGTTTGAGCTCAGAAATGAGGCGTCCGTAAGAGTTAGCCAGGGCTATTGTATACGTCATCAGGATGCTAAGGAAGACAGGAAGGAAAGTCACTCCGGAAAAAAAAAATGTGTATGTACATCTTCATCATATGGCTCCTCAGAAACCAGGATCGGGACCCTCAAAACCCTCTTGAGACTCCAAGGGCCACTCTTCCATTCTCTCTTCCCTCAGATCCAGGTTTTCACACCTCTGCCCTCCTCCCTCAGACCAAGGTTCTAGACTGTCTGCAGACCTCCTTTAGACCCAGTGTTCCAAACCCAGGCCTCTTTTCTTAGCCCCAGGAGTCCAGACCCCAGCCCAGATCTAGGTAGACCCCAGCTCCCTTCTGCCCCATAGGTACCCAGGCAGCAGCCCTCCTCTCTAATACTCAGATACCCAGCCCCCAGCTCCCCCCCTTTTTTTCAAACACTAAACCACACATATCCAAAATCTGACCGTAAAGTCTGGACCCACTTACCAAGAGAGGATCAGAAGGGGTACGGCAAAAGCCTGTGTGCCCAGGAAGTAGAGAAAGTTCTGGGTGGTCTGAGGGAGGCTTTCAATGGACTGGGGGATGTGGACCCAGATGGACCGCTTTCCTTGGAATGGGCCACACAGCTTAGAAGGTGGGATCCTGCGGGCAGAGACACTCTGGGCTCAACCAAGAAGGGCCAGAGGGAGGACCCCGTGGTGACGCAACGGGAAACGGGTGCCTCGTACTCACAGGAAGATGCTGTAAAGCACGGGGACAGCAGAGATCGCCAGACCCAAGAGAAGCACCAGAGGGAAGAAGAAATTTGCGGCGGAAGCCCGGAAGGTGCCAGAGGCCGGTGAGTAGATGGAGAAGAGCGTCATCTGGCGGGGAGAGGTCGGGAAATGGAGGTTTGAGACCCAACAGTCAGTCCTTTGTTTATCCTCTTTTCCCATCCGGACGTTTTGGCCTCCTCTGAGGCAGGACCAAGATGACCCGAGCCACCTGTTGCTCAGCCCTAGAGGGCAGACTATCTCAGATCCCTCCTTCTCTGGACCCAGGACTGACTTCCAGCGCTGTCCCCTTCCTCCTCCCTTTCTCCCTCCTCCCCTCCTCCTTCTCCCCCTCCTCCTCCCCTCCTCCTCCTCTCCTCTTCCTCCTCCTCCCTTCCTCCTCCTCCTTCTCCCCTCCTCCTCTCCTCCCCTCCTCCTCCCTTCCTCCTCCTCCTTCTCCCCTCCTCCTCCTCCCTTCCTCCTCCCCTCCTCCTCCTCTCCCCCTCCTCCTCCTCCCTTCCTCCTCCTTCTCCCCTCCTCCTCTCCTCCTCCTCCTCCCCTCCTCCTCATCTTCCTCCCCTCCTCCTCCTCCCCCTCCTCCTCCCCCTCTTCTTCCTTCTCCCCCCCTCCTCCCTTCCTCCTCCCCTTCTCCCTCCTCCCCTCCTCCTCCTCCTCCCCTCCCTCTTCCTCCTCCCCCTCCTCTCCCTCCTCCCCTCCTCCTCCTCCCCTCCTCCCCTTCTCCCTCCTCCCCTCCCCCTCTTCCTCTCCTCCTCCCCCTCCTCCTCCTCCCCTCTTCCCCTCCTCCTCCTCCCCTCCTCTTCCTCCTCTCCTCCTCCTCCCCCTCCTCCTCTCCTCCTCCCCCTCCCTGCCTCCCTCCCCCTCCCGTGACCCTGGCTCTCCCCCTTCCCTAGTCCAGGAGCACAGTCCCCAAACCCCTCAGCTCAGACTTGGGGATCGTCCCCAGCCTCACCTTCTTCAGACAGAAAAGAATCAGGAACTTGGCGGTGTTGATCAGAGGCAGTAAAGGGCAGAAAAAGCTGCCCACCCAGACCACCGTCTGAGCATAGATGAGCCCCAGCACCTCGTCAGGAACCTGGAACTCCAGGGTCCCTGCCAGACGACCCAACGCCCCGGGACAGAGGCCGCAGAGTATCCTGAAGGACAGGTGGGACCGTCATAGGCCTGCTTTATTTTATTTTTTATGTCTTCCCAACCATTTTGTAAAGGATTGTGAGGAGCTGGACTTTTAAGATCTCTGATTTGCCAGGCGTTGGTGGCGGACGCCTTTAATCCCAGCACTCGGGAGGCAGAGGCAGGCGAATCTCTGTGAGTTCGAGGCCAGCCTGGTCTACAGAGTGAGCTCCAGGACAGCCTCCAAAACAATACAGAGAAACCCTGTCTCGAAAAACCAAAAAAAAAAAAAAAAAGAAAAAGAAAAAGAAAAAGAAAGAAAGAAGAAAATTTATTTAGCTATGTTTGTGGGGTGGTGGAACAGGGAGTGGGTATGTGCATGTGAGTGTATGTGCCGTTGGAAACCAGAAAAGAGTGTCATCTCTTGCTGCTGGAGATACAGGTGTTTGTGAGTCACTTGATGAGGGTGGTAGGAATTGAACTCTTGTCCTCCGGAAGAAGAGTCCTGGAATTCTCTGTATATACCAGGCTGGCATTGAACTCATGGAGATGCACCTGCCTCTGCCTTGAAAGTGCTGGGAATAAAGGCGTGCGCCACCACTGAACTGTCTCTCTCATCCCCCTTTTTAGTCTTCTCAGGCACTGTCTGACTGTAGCTTAGGCTGGCCTGGAACTGGAGGTGATCCAGCCTCCCTGGCCTGGAACTAGTGATCCAGCCTCCCTGGGGCTCTGATTGCCAGTCTAACCCACCACTCCCAGTATCCTACCCACTTTCTAGATCAAGGCTTGACTTCCAGTTTGACTGGAAAATCAGACCAGGCTGATCTCGAACTCACAGAGATCCACCTGCCTCTGCCTCCCGAGTGCTGGGATTAAACGCGTGTGCCACCAACGCCCAGCAATAAATAAATCTTTAAAATAGACACATACAAGCTGGAGGTGATGGCGAATACCTTTAATCCCAGCACTCAGTTGGCAGAGGCAGGTGGATCTCTGTGAGTTCGAGGCCAGCCTGGTCTACAGAGTGAGTTCCAGGACAGCCTCCAAAGCTACAGAGAATCCTGTCTTGCTGGGGAACCAGCATAGGACCAAACCAGGCCCCCTGAACGTGGGCGTCAGTTGGAGGCCTGGGCAGTCTATGGGGCCTCTGGTAGTGGATCAGTATTTATCCCTAGTGCACAAATGGACTTTGGGAACCCATTCCCCATGGAGGGATACTCTCTCAGCCGAGATACACGAGGGAGGGCCTAGGCCCTGCCCCAAATGATGTGACAGATTTTGATGATCCCTCATGGAAGGCCTCACCCTCCCTGGGGAGTGGATGGGGAGGTGAGATGGGGGGTCAGTGGGGGGCATGGGAGGATGGGAGGGAGAGGAACTGGAATTGATATGTAAAATAAGATTATTTCTAATTTAAATAAAAATTTACAATAAATATAAACCCTGTATGGAAAAACCAAAAAAGACAGACACACAGACACACAGACACACAGACACACAGACACACACACACGCACACACGCACGCACGCACACGACAGGTCAGAAGAGGTGGCTCAGCAGTTAAAAGCATTTGCTGGCCAATCATGAGAACCAGAGTTAAGACCCCAGGACTCACTTAACAAGCCAGGCACTGGCATGCCTGTAATCCCAGCATTGAGAGGGCCAGAGATAGGAAACTCGCTGGGGCTTGCTGACTTCCTGCCTAGCTAAGAAAATGTGCGTCCCACGTTCAGGGAAAGAGAGACCCTGCCTCAAAGAAACAGGCAGAGAGCGATAGAGGAAGCCATGCAAAGCCCTCTTCTGATCACCCCACACACAAGCACGCCGCATATGCTCACACGAACACACATGCACACCAACAAATAAATTAAGACGGATGGAAATAATAAAGAGGGCTACAATATCTGGGTCACTGGCAAACTACCTCGCTTGTGTAAAGACCCCCGCCCAAAAGAAAAGAAAACAGGTAGAACAGGAGGGGGCGGCGGTCCCACGGGGGCGGGGCCAGCTCCTGTAGGGCAGGTCTACAAGGAGGGCAGGACACTTACTTCCTAGGAAACTGGACCAACAGTATGACCAGCAGGCTCATCAGCAGATCAAAGATCACAAGTTTGTACATCTCCTGACCCAAACGAGTCTCCCAGCACTGCAGAAGGAAGACATGGGTAGACCAGACCCTCCGGCACGGAGGCTCAAGCAGCCGAAGCCCCAAATTGCCAGCCAGCATCAGAAACCGCCCCCGTAAATGGCGTGCTTGGGTGGGTGGATGGGTGGGGGCTTCGGTGTTCATAAACACTCATGCTCAGCTCAGCTTCCTCCCAAGCCAAGGGAGGACCCACCCAGTTCCCACAGTCCCTGTCCTACCCCTAAGCCCAAGAATGCCACCTAGACACCGGCAGCACCGTCATCTCACCGGAAGTTCTCTGTAATTGTAGCCACAGGCCTTGCAGCCTTCTGCCTCCTTGTTTCCCCCGCACGTGATCTGATTCCACAGAGACAACAAGAGGAGCACCAGGGACGCCAGACGCAAAAACACCGTCCTGCAAGGCGAAGCAGACGGAGGCGCTCACACTGATGTCCTGCAGACGCTCACACTGATGTCCTGCAGACGGTGCTGGTCCCTCCTTCTGGGTGCAAGCTCACGGCCTCCCCGCCCACGCCCCTTTCCACAAAGGAAGGAATTGTGTTTCAGTGTCAGGATTTGAATCCAGAACTCCCTGGATCTCACATGCATGGGACTTGTGTGTCCTATACACACACACACACTATGTATATATGTATATATATGTATGTATGTGTATATATATGTATGTATATTTACATATGTATGTATATATAGTGTTCCTATACATTTGAGTGTGCACCACAAGCATGCTAGTGGACCAGAAGATGGAGTCTGATCCCCTGGACCTAGATATTCAGGCAGTTGGGTGCTAGGAACCAACTCCTTGTCCTCTCCAAGAGCAATAAGTGTTCTTAACCACTGAGCCATCTCTAGTTCCTTTGTCTTAAAGACAAAAACTCTGTGTGCAAAAACTCTGTATGTGTGTGTGTGTGCGCGCGCGCGCGTGCACGCACATGCGTGTGCGCAAGTCCATGCAATAGTGCTTGTGTGAGATCAGGGGGACAACTCTGTGCATTTGGCTCCTCCTTCCGCCTTTACATTCATTCTGGGGATGCACAGACATGCACAGCAAGCCCCTTTATCCTCCGAGCCACCTCACCGACCCAGACTTCTCTGTCTTTTTTTTTTTTTTTTTTGGTTTTTCGAGACAGGGTTTCTCTGTGGCTTTGGAGGCTGTCCTAGAACTCACTCTGTAGACCAGGCTGGTCTCGAACTCACAGAGATCTGCCTGCCTCTGCCTCCCGAGTGCTGGGATTAAAGGAGTGCGCCACCAACGCCTTATTTGTAGAACCAGAGAACCAGAGACCCTCTCTCTGCCTGTCCCTTTCTCCCTTCTCCCAGAGCTCCCAGCCCAGCCCATCCCAGGAGTCCAGAACCGAAGCAGCATCAAGACGATCTGGCGGCTGCGCGTGTAGCCCTCTAAGGAGGTGATGAAGTTGAACACGAGAGGCAGCACGAAGTTGAACACCGAGATGAAAATGGACGGAAGATAATCCACCAGAAGCTTCAGTATGGGGGTTTGCTGGACAACGGATGTCTCCTGAGAGGAGGTGCGGAACAAGGAAGCAAGCTGAGAAAGTCTGTCCGCCCTTAGTTTCTTTTCACCTCAAAGGACCCTAAAATCCCAGGCCCAACACCTCCCCGTCTCCAAGCCTCTTAAAAGCCCAGGGGTTGTAGACCTCAGTTCTGTCCCACAGGAAATGTGAGTTGCAGAACCAAGACACTCCTCCAACACCCTCTGCACCTGCAGCGTCACGGTGAACCCGGTGGCCCAGAAGATGCCGTAGAAGGCCGCCGCCAGGAGCGCGAGGATCAGCAGGTTGAGCACAGCCCTCAACGACCACACCTTGGCTCGCTGGCCCAGCGTCTGCTCCGCAGCACGACGCCTGACCATGGCTTCCTCCAGCTCCACCTGAGGCCAAGAGGAACGCCTGCCGCTGGGGATCCATCCCTCCAGGTCTGGCTCTGCTTCAGATGGAGCCGACACAGCCCTCTCCTTTCTTCCGTGCCCTCCAGGGATGTCCGTGGGACCACTTAGTTCTCGGGCCACTGACCCTCCGCAGCCCGGACTTGCACCCAAGGTTCACCCTCCCTAGTCTAACCGAGAACCCCGAGCCTCACCCCTTTGAGGCTCCGCCTCCTGTCCGAGGCCCTTGTCCAACCATGAATCGCAGGATCCACTCCTCTGAGCCTCCGAGCCACGCCCCTACTTCGCTTTGGACCAGCCATGGGATCCGCCTCCTCCCTAAGCGAATCCCTCCCTCCGCCCCCTAGTCCTTTCTATGCCAGGCATTTTTAGCGCGGCTTTCTTTGAACTCTCGTCTCTTAGCGATGCCCAGCTCCTCCTTATCTCAAGCGGGTCTTGTGTGGTCCACAGCTAGTTGTAGCCCCGCCTTCGCGAGCGCACCTGAAGGTCATGCAAAATGATGTGCTGGCGCAGCCGCACGTGCGCTGCCCCGCAGAGGCCAAAATTCCAAGCTGAGAACACCCGGTGGCTGTAGCTGGTCAGAACCTCGGACTCGGCCAACAGCGTCTCCTTCAACCCGGACACCGAACTGTGAGAAGAGACCACGAGAATAGGGAGTATGAAACGAACTCAAAGACCTGTAATCGGGTGCCATCAGCTGGAGTCAGAGAGATGCACTTGGAACCAAAGGCTAAGAGAGAACTGGGAAGCAGACATCCTTAAAGCGACAGAAGGACCTAGGAGAGACTGCTAGATCTCCCGAGAGAGGAAGAGATCCGAGAAGACAGAGGTAAGAGAAGAAAGAATTAAAAAAAAAAAAAAAAGACACTCTTAGCGCGACGAAGGCAAGCAGGCCCGGTGGAAGGAGGCTGAGTCAGGAGGATGCCTACAATCCAGGCTACGTAGCATGTTCAAGGGTTAGCCTGGCTGCACAGTGAGTTCCAGACCAGCCAGAGGTATGCAAGGTTACAGGGGAACTGTCTCAACCTGCCCACTAAGACAAGCGTTGGGGGAGGCGGCAAAGACTAGAGAGAATAAGAAGGAAGGATGAGAACAAAAAGAAGAGAAAAATGTAACTGGACAAACAGTCCGTGTCTACTTTCACTACCCCCTCCTTTCTCCCCTGAACAACTAGGGAGTGTTCCCACATGACCTCTGCATCTGTAGAGATTCCATTCTCAGTATTTGAACCTGCGGGGACATCATTTTTATGCAAATCAGAAGGAATTCCTGTTTTTTATTTATTTATTTATTTATTTATTTATTTTGGTTTTTCCAGACAGGGTTTCTCTGTGGCTTTGGAGGCTGTCCTGGAACTCGCTCTGTAGACCAGGCTGGCCTCGAACTCACAGAGATCCGCCTGCCTCTGCCTCCAGGAATTCCTGTTTTTAAAGAAAACTGCCACAAATCTTCTCCCAGCTTCCAAGAACTGAGCATCTTCCTGGCAAACCAGGAAGCGCTCTCTGTGTGTGTGTGTGTGTGTGTGTGTGTGTGTGTGTGTGTGTGTGTGTGTGTTTGTTTTGTTTTTTTGAGACAGGGTTTCTCTGTGGCTTTGGAGGCTGTCCTGGAACTAGCTCTTGTAGACCAGGATGGTCTCTAACTCACAGAGATCCGCCTGCCTTTGCCTCCTGAGTGCTGGGATTAGTGTCTGTGTGCTGTATGCATGGGTGTACAGGTGCACTAGGGAATGTGTGTGTGCATGAATATATGGGTGCACTTACACATGTATGTGTGTGTGTGCTTGGAGGCCAGAGGTGTATGCCAGGTGTCTGTCAGTCTGCATTTTGTGTTTTCAGATGGAGTCTCTCACTGAACCTGTTTAGGATACACTGGCTGGCCGGTGAGCTCCTGGGGTCCTCCTGAGTCTGCTGCCTTCCCCATCCCCCAGTGCCGGGGGTTGCAGATGTGTGTGGCTGGCACGCTCAGCTCTACTGTGGGTTTTGGGGTCTGAACCTCTGTCTTTGGGTTTCTGCTGCAAACACTTTATCCACCAAGCCATCTCCTCAGCCTTTGTATTTAGTTAGTTTGTTTTTTCAAGACAGGGTTTCTCTGTATAACCTTAGCCATCCAGGAACTCACTCTATAGACCAGGCTGGTCTTGAACCCACAGAGATCTGCCTGCCTCTGCCTCCCGAGTGCTGGGATTAAAGGTGTGAGCCACGACCGCCAGGATGTTTTGTTTGTTTTGGTGACAAGGTCTCACTATGAGGGTAAGGCTGGCCTCAAAATCACAATCCTATTTCCTTTACCTCCCCAGTGCAGGCCTGGGCTCCCCTACCCATTTACTCGTGTTTTATACTTGCTCACAATTATATTTGTCCTTAATTAAACAGTCTGTCTTATGACTTGTGTCTACCCTCAGAACTGCAAGCTGGAGCAATGCCTGTCAACTAGGAGACACTAATTTTTTTTTTAATAGCTTTCTTAGTTTGGGAGCATGATCCCACCCCTACCCCCTTTTAAAATATTTGGTTTCCCTCCTTGAAGATCTCTCAGTCTCATCAATCTCAGCATTAGGGATTTAGCTCAGTGGCAGAGCTCATGCCTAGCAAGTGTGAAGCCCTAAGCTCCGTCCCCTCCTGGGAAGGGATGAGGGAGATACATCCACACATGAATCTCCAGCGCCTACCCTTTTCAGGTACCCAAATAAATACCTGCCCAGGACTTCCTTTGTACATCTGAAAGTTACCTCAGAGCCTGAGGGTGTGGGAGCCATTCAGTGGTAGGGCACTTGCCTAGTATACATGAGGCCCCCAGATCCCATCCCCAGCCTCACGAACACATACACACACCCCACAGGCATGCTGGGAAGTCTGTAACCCTCAGTAGGCTAAGCAGGGGGATTCCCATGAGTTCAAGACCTGTCTAGGCTACATAACAAAATTTAAGGCAGCCTCAAGTACAGCATGACGCATTGCCAAAACAAAATACCCAAGTGGCGGTGGTGGTGGTCCATGCCTTTAATCCCAGCACTCTGGAAGCAGAGGCAGGTGGATCTCTGTGAGTTCAAGGCCCACCGGGTCTACAGAGTGAGTTCCAGGACAGCTAGGGCTACACAGAGAAACCCTGTCTCAAAAAAATAAAATAAAATAAAAAAATAGCATACCTGTACAGGAAGTGATACATAACTTCCATTTTCTGCCTCCCTCACAGGAATTCCTGGGTGCTCTCCCCTTCAATATACCCGGAGTCTCCATTTATATAAAGGGCAAAAACAGGACACAAGGTCTCACGTAGCCCAGGCTAGCCTCAACTGTGCAGTCAGGGATAACCTAGAGTTCCGGATCTTGCTCCCCAGTGCTGGGATTATGGACAGGCGCCATCCCTGAAGGCTTAGCATTCTAATTCATCTCTTTTTAGATGTATTTATTCAGTGTGGGTGTGTGTGTGTATGTGTGTGTGTGTGTGTTCGTGTGACGGCACTAGTGTGCCATGGTCCAACGTGTGTGGTAGTCACACAGAAATCTGTGGAAGTTCCTCTCTGTACCCTGCAGGTTCTGGGAATGGAAGACAGGTTGTCAAAAAGTATCCCCACCTTCGGCAAAACCCTGCCAGCTTGGTGTTCTATTCCTTGATATAACTGGGGATCTTGAGACGGAGCCTGGAGTTCAAGGTAACCTTCCTGCCTCATCGTCCCAAGCACTGGAATTAGTGTAATTATGCATCTTCAAGACGGGCCTTCATGGGCTGGAGAGATGGCTCAGCGGTTAAGAGCACTGCCTGCTTTTTCAAAGGCCATGAGTTCAATTCCCAGCAACCACATGGTGGCTCACAACTATCTGTGATGAGATCTGGTGCCCTCTCCTGGTCTGCAGGCAGAACACTGTATACATAATAAATAAATAAATCTTAAAAACAAAACAAAGGGGCTTGAGAGATGGCTCAGAGGTTAAGAGCACTGACTGCTCTTCCAGAGGTCCTGAGTTCAATTCCCAGCAACCACATGGTGGCTCACAACCATCTACAGTTCAATTTGGTGCCCTCTTCTGGTGTGTAGACAGAATACTGTATATGCAATAAATAAATAAATCTTTTTAAAAAAAACATAATAAATAAATAAATAAATCTTAAAAACAAAACAAAGGGGCTGGAGAGATGGCTCAGAGGTTAAGAGCACTGACTGCTCTTCCAGAGGTCCTGAGTTCAATTCCTAGCAACCACATGGTGGCTCACAACCATTTGTAATGAGATCTGGTGTCCTCTTCTGGCCTGCAGGGATACTCGCAGGCAGAACACTGTATATAAAATAAATTAGTAAATAAATAATTTAAAAAACCAAAAACCAAAAAGAACAGGCCTTCATGTGCTTAGGGTACCCTCACCTTAGGGTACCACTAGATAAGCTGCGGGTGGGGACTTCCCAATTTGTGCTCTCTTCTGTCTGTCTGTCTCTTTTAGAGAAAAAAAAAAGAACTCAATTTGTAGACCACACTGGCTTCAGAGGTCTCTCAGGCCTCTACCTCCCTAGTGCTGGAATTAAAGGAGCAGGACCACATGCGCAGGCAGACAGGATCTTTCTGGGTGGCCTTCAGCTTACTCTGTTGTAGCCCAGGCTGACCTAAGCGTCCTGCCTCAGTCTCCCAAGTGACGAGAGACTGCTGGCTTCAGGCTCCATACCTGAATTTGACATAGATTTCAACGCTGAAGAAACGGCCCCTGGGGGAGGAGGGGGCTTTTCTATGCCGCCTCCAGTGTCCCCTCCCCATCAGAGTCGGGATGTGGGTGTCACTAGCCTCCAGTGTCCCCTCCCCATCAGAGTCGGGATGTGGGTGTCACTAGCCTCCAGTGTCCCCTCCCCATCAGAGTCGGGATGTGGGTGTCACTAGCCTCCATCAGAGTCGGGATGTGGGTGTCACTAGCCTCCAGGGTCCCCTCCCCATCAGAGTCGGGATGTGGGCGTCACTAACCGGTGCAGGATGAACAGCAAGTAGATGAGGCCGATGACGAAGACGGAGCACAGGTAGGTGACGGCCAGGTCCGATCGGGGCGGGTAGAACCCATAGAACAGAGGGGACCATTCTAGGTAACCCTGGGGAGGGAGGGGGAGGCAGAGCACGGGCCGTTGTGGGGCCGGGTAGAGGCAAAGGGAGCTGGCCATTGAGGGAACCCGGGGCCACGGCACCTACCTCTCCAGAGAGCAAGTTGAAGAGCTGGGTCGGGAAGGAGACCAGGCCCTGGGTGTTGGGGGTGTAGGAACCACAGGGTGAGGAGATGTTAGGGCCAGGGGGACCCGGAGGAGGCCCTCCCGCCCAGGCGGGGATCAGCTTCATGCAGACTTCAATCACAGATGCCACCAGGTTGAGGAAGAGCAGGAACCGCAGCAGAGAGAAGTAGGACTCGGTGCCTGCTCCGAACTGGCCTGCAGGGGGCAGCAGAGACATCTCAGTCCAGTGCAAGACCGACTCCAGACCCCAGCCCTCCTCCCTCGACCCCAGGAGTCCAGGCCCCAGCCCTCATCCTTTAAAGCGGACCACACCCCCAATCTTCTTCAGCGTCCATGCCCAGGGCTGGATGGTTTGAAAGCCTTCTTTCATTTTCCCCTTGGTCCTGGACAGCTGCCGGCTCCAGTGGGCGGCCTTCGATTCAGAGCCAGAGGCCACCTGCTCCCTGGCCTGGGTCCTCCTGGGAAGAAAGGAGAGTCGGGAAACGAAGGGTTTGGAAACTGCAAACTGGGAACCACCCAAAGACACAAACACCTCGAACACGGTGAGGGTGGCGGTTGCGGTGCGCTGTATCCATGCAGCGGAATACTCTCCAGCAATTAAAAAGAAAACAAGTCTGCGTTGTGCATAGGAAACCAGGCACAAGATAGCGATAGAGCCACGTATGGTGGTGAACCCCGCCAGTAGTCGGGCTGAGGCAGGGGCATGAGAGTCCCAGGACAGGCTGGTCAGATTAGTGACATGCTTTTGAGAGAAAATGAAGGAGTCCGGTGTGGTACACCATTCATGCTTGTAGTCCCCTCAATAGGGAGAACACGGTAGAAAGACTAGTGTGAGAATTCGAGGCCAGCTTGAGATAAACAGTGATTTCAGGCCAGCCTGGGTTATAGAGTGAGACCATGTCTCAAGGAAACCAAACAAAAAAACCGGGCGGTGGCGGCGCCCTTTAATCCCAGCACTGGGGAGGCAGAGACAGGCGGATCTCTGTGAGACCAACCTGGTCTAGAGGGCGAGTTCCGCAACAGCCAAGGCTACACAGAAAAACCCTAACCCTGACCCTAGGTTGTCTTGAAAAACAACAACAACAAAAAGTCTTCCTGATTCTCTAACACAAAGTTCAGAACAAACCCAGGCAGACCTTACCCTGGCCAGTGGCGAGGCAATAAAGAAAATAACCGGTTGAAACCAGGAAGAGTTACTTGCTAGAAGGAGGCGTCAGAGGGGCTCACCTGTATTCCCGCCTTGCCTGCATAGGCCAGGGAAGTTCCCGGGGAGAGTGAGATTCCATTTGGGCAGTTTCCGCAAAGGCCTGAAGACTCCTTCCTCCATCCTCATCCTCATGTGCCCCCCAAGGGAGCACACCAGGGCCACGGTATCGGAGAGTAGCAGCACTTGGGAGGTCATTCAGCACAGAGGCCAGCGATGGGCCTGGCCGTGAAAACAGAAGGATTGGAAGACAGGCGGAGTCGAGGCTACCCATCCTTTCCCCTCAGACCCAGAATCCAGGCCCTAGGCCTGGACCCTCAGACCCAGAAGTAAAGGACTCAGCCCTCCTCCCTCAGACCTAGTCCTTTTCCCGAGGCTCAGGAGCCCAGGGCCCAGTCTCCTCCCTTAGATACAGGAGTCCAGACCCCAGCCCTCCTCCTCCCTCAGACTGAGGAGTCCAGACCCCTGCCCTCCTCCCTCAGACTGAGGAGTCCAGACCCCAGCCTCCTCCTCCCTCAGACTGAGGAGTCCAGACCCCTGCCCTCCTCCCTCAGATTGAGGAGTCCAGACCCCAGCCTCCTCCTCCCTCAGACTGAGGAGTCCAGACCCCTGCCCTCCTCCCTCAGACTGAGGAGTCCAGGCCCCTGCCCTCCTCCTCCTTCATCCTGAGGAGTCCAGACCCCTGCCTTCCTCCCTCAGACTGAGGAGTCCAGACCCCTGCCCTCCTCCCTCAGACTGAGGAGTCCAGACCCCAGCCTCCTCCTCCCTCAGACTGAGGAGTCCAGACCCCTGCCCTCCTCCCTCAGACTGAGGAGTCCAGGCCCCTGCCCTCCTCCCTCAGACTGAGGAGTCCAGGCCCCTGCCCTCCTCCTCCTTCATCCTGAGGAGTCCAGGCCCCTGCCCTCCTCCTCCTTCATCCTGAGGAGTCCAGGCCCCTGCCCTCCTCCTCCCTCAGACTGAGGAGTCCAGGCCCCAGTCGCCTCCCTCACACTCAGGGCACCAGCCAGGCCCCTGCCCTCCTCCCTCAGACGAAGAAGATCAGTCCCCAGCCTCCTCCCTCAGATTCAGGGATCCAGACCTCATCCCTAGTCCTCCTCCCTCAGACCTAGGAGCCCAGGCCTCAGTCCACCTCCCTCGGACCCGGGATTCTAGATTCAGGTTCTCTTCCCTCAGAACTACAGATCCCATCATTTCTCCCTCAAACCAGGGATTTCTCCCTCAAACCTAGCTCTTATCCCTCTGCTCCAGGGGTCCAGGCCCTGGCCGTTCCTCATACTGTTTCAAAACCTCAGGCTGACACACCCACAGTCCTAGACTCTCCCTCCTAAGGTCCCCAGGTGTGAGCCCCCCAAGTGTGAGTCCGAACTGCAACTTCCTGTCTCCTCACTGCGGAGTTTGGAACCCTGGCCCCTCCTGTACCTGATACTGGGAACCCAACGCCCGCCTCTCTCCTCCAACACTGTAACTAGGCCTCTTCCAGGTTCCTCTTCAGGGGTTCAGAGTTTCCGTCTCAGGAAACCCAGGAAATGAAATCCTGCTCTCGGGCTCAGGAACGCAGCTCCTACTTTCCTTGACCGACGGACCTGACTTCCCAGGAGTCATTCCTACCTGTTCTTGACTTCCGGGAGCTAGACCAGTCCCTGGGCTGGCCCCAGGCGTCCCTGGGACACTCGTCCATGTTTGTGGATGTGCTTTCTGCACCTGTGGTTTCCGTGTCTAGAGGCCCCCAGGGCGGGGACTGCCCTAGGTAAGGGAGGGGCCTGAGGTGGGGATGTACCTGCCCACTAGGTGGCCTGAGGTGACTTGGGTACACTTCCTGTAAGGCCAGGCCTCTGCTTTAAGTCGTCTCCTGGGAGTTGAAGTCCTCACCGCCTGAGCCTGCAGAACTTCGTGGCACCGGGACCTCAGCAGGGCAGGCTGGCAATGTGGGCTGAGTGTACCCTGTCGCCCACAGATGCACTCACAGACAGATGCATGTGTAACACTTTATTGGGGAGGATTTGTACATTCTGACCTGTCACAGGCCAAGGATGACACTGGGTGGCAGCTTGCGTGGGGGCCCAGAAACGGCTCAGACAGAAGCTTCTGTAGGAGCATGTTCCCCTGGGGCTGCTTTTATACATCTCGGTTTCCCCTTCAGGGTGTGTAAGGTCATGATCTCTGAAATGCTGGGTTGATGATAAAGGCCAAGAAGAAAACAGGAAGGGTGTTCCTCCCCTTCCCCAGGACCTGACCCTGAGGCTCCTATCTCAATACTGGGGACCCACGGGGGACTTTGTCCAAGATGCCACATGACCACTGGGCCAGTGCCCTTGCATTCTGGGAAGTGTGGCATTCTGAATACCTGAAGACTTCCGGGGAGACAGGGCAAGAATGGAGAGTTAACACCCTGACGTCAGCAGAGGGAGGCTCGGAGAAGTCAGGATGCTGTAAGCATCCGGGAGAAGGGTACCCCTGACTTTGTTTAAGTCAGAGGCAGGGGATTAGCTGGGAAGAAGGAATCCTCTCCAGACTCCTAGCCAAACAAGGGATTCTTGCTGGGTGAAGGAGAAGAGACAGCCCGGTTCACGGAATTCCCAAGCAAAGCCCGAGGTGCCTGGCAGGCCAGCACACAGCACAGCTCACTCTTCCCGGAGCTTTTCCCTGGCCTGGCCGCTGGTGGCCGGGGATGCCGTCTTCCTCTTGCTGGGGCTGCCCCCACCCAAAGCAAGCCCTAGCCCCAGGCAGGCCAGGGCTAGGAAGTGGACCCAGTAGTAGATGGAGGCCCAGTACCGCAGCGTGTCACCCATGGAAAGGAGGACGAAGCCCATGCACATGTAGTCGTAGGCGCGCATCTTCAGGAACCAGTGGACCCAGTCCCAGGCTCGCTGGCCCCTGGGGCTCAGGCGTCTCCGCAGGGCTGACTCCAGGGAGCCCTCAGCGGCCAGGCACAGCGGGATGGTCATGAAGCTTAGGTAGTAGCCAGGATGGAGGCCATGCCAGTAGGCGCTCAACAGCATGGTCCAGGCGCTCCTGGAGAAAGAGACCGGGTCAGGACACAGTCGCCACTGCCTCGCGCCCTCCTCCCTCAGGCGGCGGAGCTCAGGCCCACTCTTCCTTCCTGCATCCTCAAAGTCAAGGAGGCTTTTATTTCTCACTGGGGATTGAACCCAGGGCCTTGCACACACCGGGCAATAATGTACTACTAAGCTGCATCACCAGCGTTCTCAGACAGCTTCTTTTTTTCTTTTCTTATTCCAGTCAGGGTTTCTCTGTGTAGTCCTGGCTGCCCTGAAACTTGCTCTTTTGACCGTGCTGGCCTTGAACTCAGAGATCCTCCTGCCTATGTCTCCCAAGTGCTGGGATTAGAGGCGTGCCACCACTGCCTGGCTCCTGAGACAGCTTCTTTTTTTTTTTTTTTTTTTTGGTTTTTCGAGACAGGGTTTCTCTGTATTGTTTTGGAGCCTGTCCTGGAACTCGCTCGGTAGTCCAGGCTGGTCTCGAACTCACAGAGATCCATCGCCTGCCTCTGCCTCCCGAGTGCTGGGATTAAAGGCGTGCGCCACCACTGCCCGGCTTGAGACAGCTTCTTAAATTAAATATATGTGTGCATCGTATGTGTGCCCAGTGTCTGAGGAAGCCAGAAGGCGTCAGATCCCCTGACACCGGAGTTACGGATGGTTGTGAGCGGCCACGTGGGTGCTGGGAATTGAACCCAGGTCCTTTGGAAGAGGAGCCAGTGCTCTTAACTGCTGAGCCATCTCTCAGGCTCCAGCATACTGAGACAGCCTTGAGCTTTCTTTTTCTGTGGTCAACAAGCTCCCAATCTCTTTGCAGATTCCAGGGAGGCTACCCCTGGCTCTTTCCTCCTAGAAAGACCCAATGTCTCATATTGTAGGGGCCTCCTCCTTCAGAACGAAGAAATGCAAGAAAATTTACTTCCTGATTTTTTTTTAAGACAGGGTTTCTCTGTGTAGCTCTGGCTGTCCTGGAACTCATCCTGTAGACCAGGCTGACTTTGAACTCACAGGAGATACGCCTGCCTATTATCTCCCTAGTGCCACCTCAGCCTGGCTATAAAAAGTAAACCTAAAACAAACAAAAAAAAACAACTAATTTGATCTCGAGCTAAATAGAGTCAGGCTAGATTAGTATTTGAATGGGAGAATATACATTCTTAGGATCCTCTCATCTGCATCAGAAACCCTGTAGGTAAATCAGGCATGCTGTATACATCTGTGTAGGAGGAGCTGGAGAGCTGACCTAGCTGTTAAGAGGACTTCTTGCTCGTGCAAACACTCAGGTTCGATTCCTGGCATCCATATGGTGGCTCACGACAATCTGTGACTCCAGTCTCAGGGGCCCAATGCCTCTTCCTCACCTTCCTAGGTACTAGGCAAGCGTGTAGTATACAGGCGTACACACAAGCAAAGCAGTCATAAAATAATAAAACAAAAAAGTCAGGGATGGTCCACCTCTTCTTGGTGGACCCTAAAGTTTGATTCTCTCTCTTTTTTGTTTTTTTGAGGCAGGGTCTCACTATGTAGCCTTGAACTCTTAAGAGATCTGCTTGCCTCTGCCTTTCAAGTGCTGGGATTAAAGGTGTGTGACACCACCATTCCTGGCTGGTTCACTATCTCTTATTAAGAGATTAAATTCTCTATTTTTATTGATGTGTATGGGTGATTTTTGACTGCATGTATGTCTGTATACCATGTGTGTGCCTGGGACCCTTTGAGTCCAGAAGAGGGCTCCCGGGAACTGAAGTTACAGACTGTTGCAAGCTGTCATGTGAGTGTTGGGAAACCAAATTCAGATCCTCTGTAAGAGCAAGTGCTCTTAACTACTGAGTCATCTCTCCCCACCTTAACGCCTCTACCTATCAGTCCACAAATTCAGGCTGCGACCCTCTCCCAAGGTGGACACAGAATGAAGCATTCTCTACTTCGCTCTCCAACTGGGCAGCAACCTAACAGAAGCAGGTACTCCTGCGTTCTTTTCCTGCTTGGGGACTTGTCTCTGACATACCTACCAGCATACTGCAATGACAGCACAATGCTGACCATACTATTAAGAGGCAGGGGGGAAACCAGAAGAGAATCCTATGTCTCCACCACAGATGCCAAGGGAATGTCTCAGCCATAGCAAAAAAAAAAAAAAAAAAAAAAAAAGTCTCCCGACATGGGATACAGCTTAGTGGTTCCCCTGTTTTTTATTTATGTCAATTTGGCACAAGTTAGAGTCATCTGAGAAGAGGGACTCTCAGTTGAGAAAATAACCACATCAAATCAGCCTATGCAAATCTTGGAGTGTTTTCTTGACTGATGAGCGATGTGGAAGAACCTAGCCCTACGGGTAGGTGGTCCTGGGCATGGAAACCCCGTAGCCATAGGGAGCCAGCCAGTAAGCAGCACTCCGTTAGTTTCTGCTTCAATTCCTGCTCCAGGTTCCAGCCTTGACTTCCCTCCACTATAGACAACTATAAGCTGAAGCAAACCATTTCTTCCCCCAAGCCAGTCATGGTTTTACTATAGCAACAGAAACTCTAAGACAGTGCTGGAGCACTTGCCTGGTATGCCTGGAGCCCTGGAAACTAAAAGTCTCCAGACATTGTCATATGTCCCCTGAGGGTACAGCACAATTCCCTTAATTGAGAGTAAGTGAGCAAAATACTGAGGTGCCCTGGGCTTTGACCTGACCCTGATCCCCAAGGTTTTAATAGTACCGTCTATAACTTAACACTCAAATGTCCTTTTTGAAAAGACAAGGTTTCATGAGGCTGACCTCAAACTCCTGGTCCTCCTGCTTCCGCTCTGCAAGCGCTGTTATTACATATGTAAAGCACTACCTGCAAACACTACCAGATGAACTACACCCCCAGCCCACACCCCACCCCATATTGTGTGTGTGTGTGTGTGCTGTGTGCTCCCCATACCCCATATTGTGTATGTGTGTGTGTGTGCGCGCGCGCGCGCATGTACTCTTGTGTATCATGAAGAATGTGTAGTGTTGGGAGGACAGCTCGCTGCAGTCAGTGATGGGGGATGTTTCTGGTACTGGTTGGTGAATAGAACACTGTTTGCCCAGTAGAGGCAGGAAGATAGGCGGGGCTAGGAGATGAGGAGGATGCTGGGGAAGAGAGGCAGAGAAGCACCTCAAGAAGGAGCCGCCACGTAGCGGTAAGATAGGAGGACGCGCCAGGCGTTCTCTGGTAAGATAAGGCCATGTAGAAATACATAGATGAGTAGTTACGGGTTAATAATTAAGAGAGAGCTAGCCAGTAAGAAGCCCTAGTCATCGGCCAACGGCTTTATAACTAATATAGCCCTAGCCATCGGCCAACGGTTTTATAACTAATATAGCCCTAGCCATCGGCCAACGGTTTTATAACTAATATAGCATCTGTGTGTTTATTTGGGGCTGTAGGGCGGTAGGACCTGGTAGGACAAGGAACTACACCAACAAGTCAGTTCTCTCCTTCCTTCTACCATGTGTGTCCTGGAGATGAAACACAGGTGGCCAGGCTTGGCAGCAAGTGCTTCCACAAGTCCAGCCGCCTCAGCGGCTGCTGTATTGCTATTATCTTGAGGCAGTGTCTCACTTTGTCACCTGGGCGACTTGGGACTCACGATCCTTCTGCCCGACGCTCCAGTGCAATGAGTGCTACCTCTCTTGGCTTCAGTGTCCACTCCTAACACCTTTCCCTTAAGTGCCAGCCTCATGTTACCATCTGCCTCTCCAGTGACATCCGGCAGTTCTCAAGTGAGCGGGA